TATGCGATTAGTGAATTCTAAAACAGAACACGAATTTAATTAAATCGATGTAAGTACATGTACTGTACAACATCACGGCCAAAAATTACCAGCATTAAAGATAAGAAAATTATGCAATATTTCCTTAATTAAAAATATTTATAACAAGTGTGACCCCATTTTTGGGTATGATTTTCACGATATTTTTAATAACGTCTTGTAAAATATGTTCCTACTCTTCTGGTGTCCTTTATCTCCCTTCCCCCTTATTAATAAACGAAGACTACGCATGGATTAGTTACTCCATGTTTTGACTCTGTTTTTTGAATGACAAATGGCATTTGAGTGATACGAACAAAACACGGCGTAACTAGTCAAAGCTTAGTCCTTGTTTATTAATAAGGGGCTGATGTTTAGTGGAAGAGGTTGCACCGATTTTATGCCTTTTTATGACATCCCAGATTTGCTCAATTGGATTAAGGTTGGGCCTTCGCTAAAGCTGGCCAGTCTAACCAATTGATACGCATTCTTTCATCGTCTATTATATTCATTTCTTGCATTACACGTCGCCAGAAGGTGAGCACGAGCATTGTACTCCAGAATTTTTTAAATCTTCTGTTAATGAGTAATTAGGACTTCTGTTACGTACAAGTGTGTATTTAATGTTACATTATATATGAAATCTATCTCCGTATGTGCTGTTGAAAGTTTGGTTGCGTTTTTCGAAACATACGTCTGCGTGGCGTTCACGTGGTTGCGAAAAACTCACTTTTTGCAGTCACGTCGCCAAGAAATTGTAACTTCAACGGAAAACAAAACATTTTGCCAATCCTCCAGAGTCCAGGATTCAATTTCGAGCAAAGTGGTTTTGGAAAACTCTCTTAACTGTTGATATCGGCAGCCTAAAGCTTCCTCATGATTGTTTGTTACTACCTAGCTCACTTAAATTTATCTCTTCTTTTACTGAATCATCTGAATCTGCGAGGCTCATCTTTGTGTCTACACATAAATACTCACGTTACCGCGATACCCGGCTCACCAAAAATCAATTAATCTATAGCTCTAAGTATTGCTAGCTTCCTTTCCGAAGCTGGTCTTCTTTTGAGCAACCCGAACACTTGATTTCGTTGGCATATCGTCTGGACAGTTGAACGGCTCATATTTAACAGCAGAGGCACGTAAGTTTGCGGACAACCTCTTTCAAGTAGCGCTATAATTTTACAGGCCTTTATCGCCTTGTCAATGTTAAAAAAAAGTGTAAATTTGCAAAAATCTTTAATAATGAAATTCAGAAATAATCGCATTTTTTCTTTCTTAATCTACATGCTACTGCACAAAGTGTGTGCAAGTGTATGTATATCAAACATAAACAATAACATTGTGCAGAAGGTATCTAGTAATTACACATTTGATTAATTGGGTATATTTATTTCTGTGTATTTACATTCCGGGTTGTAGACGCGGAGCAATGAATGAAAGTTGGCTGGCATATTATAACGTATGTTCAACAGTGTCAAGGCCGAAGTCAAATGCACGTTGTATATAGATCACAATGCCAAGAGACACACTAGAGCGTTGTATGTATCCAATGCGCCCGCTTATCTAGTTCGAGTACGTAATTTAACCACAAATCTATCTTACATTTTATACACATCGGGCACAAACGAAACATTAGCATTGTTTTGTTGTGCTACACGAAACACTACTTTCACTGCCAATCATTGTCAACGTAAAATATACGGTTTTTGACAGGTTTAAATCTTTCACTAGTGCAGTATCATATTTTAACGGACATGACAATAGTAAAACTCCTCCTCCTATCCAGGAATGTCGAGCTTTTCATGTTCGTAATGCTTTCAACTGCATACGAAATTGATGATAGTGGACAGGATATACAAAATATTTATCGATTATTCGATAATATGTCACTCTTATCAGATAATAAGGTTGTGTTGTACCACAGAGCTAGTGAAAGTTAAAGTTTTAGTTAAATACTATAACTTTAGCTGAACAGTTAAAGTATGTTGGTGCAACTCACGCTTAATAAAATAAAATGAATAAAATAACTGACATTTTAAATAGCTTTTCATAAAACGATAGAAACGGTTAGAAGGGGAGAAATTTGTGCTAAATTATTAAATTTTATATAGATATCGTTTCTTTATTTACCTGTAACCACTGCAAAATCAATATTCAACCTTATTTCCACACTACAAAAATAGCTATAAAATGCCTGTCATTCGTACTGGGCGCCCGCGAGCATGAGTGCCGGTTGCCCACCCTTATTTAAATACAGAATTCGTAACGATTTAAACTTGTAAATCACATAATCCAATGAGGCGGCCCCAGTGTCCGTCCGAGCACGTTCTAGGTTAATTTGAAAGTCGTTTGTAGGGGTCCTGAGTATAGGATACAGTAGAATGAATATAAAATTATCTCTTTGCGTGTGTTTGTCATTTTATTGTAATAAAAAGTATGATTTTCAAATTTATATCTTAACTTAAACAGAGTACTTATATCAAGCAGATGTGAATCTATGAGTCTCACTTATCCAACACAGCATTTAGAAAGGCTTCGTCATAGCGTGAGAGGGGGAGGCGGGACAGCAACTGGGGGCAAAACAAAGTATCCAATTTCTCCACTTCCCCACTTCCGACGCAATTACGACACAATATTGTGGGGCTGCGGCGCGGCTTGACCGCAGCCGCCTGAAATCTAGGCACCGGCACCGCTGCAATCTCGTTACGGTTCATAAAATACTCTGTTATTGTTCTCAGCCTTAAGTTTTTTGCAAGGCCCACTCAAACAAAGAAACTTGTGCTCTCCTGAAGTCGATAAAAATCTACAGGTGTTTATATACACTCGACAGCCATAGAGCACAATGTCTGAGCTTAATTTAGCGCGCCATAAATTCATGTTAACAGGATGCAGGAGGTAAATTGTCAGTAACCTGACCTCGACAATACTTTAAAAGATTATCTGCTCTCAGACTGACAGACAAGTTGATAATGCAGAGGGGTAACGTCCCCTTCGCTAATAAAGTGTCAAAAATCTGGATTACGTCATGATGTAACCCCTCTTATAGCATTATTATAGCATGGAAAAGTTTAATTAATATGTTGTATAACAATAACACAGTTTTTTGAACCAGCATAGATACATTATGGCGTTATAATACCAAAACAACTTTATTCTTCAACCTGTACGTTACACAACTAATTCTGCTAAAATAATAAATGTATAAGAATACTTATGTCACTCAATAATGCAAAATCTGGCGAAGGGATTTTGATGAAATTTAGCAAATAATAGTTTATAACCTAGATTACGTTAGAATACTTTTTATCTCGGAAAAATAAATACTTAATAAAGGAGGCATGTATCCGAACTGGTCCAAAGATTGATTTACCGTGTGAAAGATTCACGATGGATTTTTTGAATTCTAAATCGAAGAGGATGTAATCGCTAGAAAAGAATTTACAAGAATAATAAATACCCAAATAGTTTGTCCTTACTAATGCTGATCAACCAAAAACACAGTTGTAAACATTAAACTCTTTTCGCCCGAGGGGTAGTGATTAAGGACACTTTCAAATATTCGAGTGCGCTACAATAGGTTCAGTTGAAAGGCCTCCCCTGACGACGTCGGATGTAAGAGAATCAACTGAACTAAAAGTACCATTTCAACTGCCAAGGGTCTCGCAGCATTGGCTGAACAAAGGCACTCAGCTCTCACAACAACGCTCGCGTCATAATCATGTGATCCGATATGACAATATAAGGGCATGCCAATCAACGTCGTCTGCCAAAATGTCTTTCTAAAACTTTGTCTTTATATCGTCTTTAACGCCCGAAGTACTTTAAGGTTATCAAATATGAATACACAGTACTTTCAAAGACAACATTACAATTTTGATTGATACACTATGAATATGTAACAACAACCAAATTCAAACGTGTACGATCGAATGGTGTTTCGAATTTGTCACCTTATAGGCGCCCACAATTGAAACATTGACCTTGCTGTGACTGAATGCAATTTCATATTCCTGTCTATACACAAGCGCGAGCGCGCGGAGTGACTGACTCACGGAGTTATTGTCAAGTAAAAACAACGCTCGGTCTGTCAACACAAGGTCAACCGCAATACAGATTGGAACTGTGATCTAAACCTCCAATTTGAAACTGAAACAGCCTGATAGCCATTGATGGCTGTACGAACGCTAATCGTGCAAGACGTGACTAACAGCGAATTCGAAATAATTATTGATATCTTTACTGAATCACACAATATTTATCAATTAAAAATCGATAAATAGACCAACGAAATAAAATACTCTTCCTATTATTTTTCGTTAAGTCCAAACGTTTTTTTATATTTTTAGAACGGATAAAACAAACAATCAGTTAACCTAAGTGGTCAATATCTGCGGTACTACCGGTGGAATTACGAATTTGTAACCATAAAAATAAACAAATTTACTACGATACTGTAGATGTAAAGAAATCTAACCTCCGTGTAATTATCAGAACTCTAAAACAAGAAGGAAGAAATAGGGAACTGTAAACGATCAGATTCGTTTGTCAAACATACTTGATGAAAAAGGATCTTAGACGATAAAACCACAGATCAAACAAATTTGTCAAGCGAAACCCGAAGTTTGAGTTATCGGACGAGGACATAGATATGACGAGTGAGATCTTCTTTGACAGACCACGCAGTATGTACACGTTCAAATTTGTTTGTCAAACACCTCAAACATAGCTTTAAACGATCAAACCAATTTGATCGTTTACAGGGCTCCTCCGTGCTTCGGAAAGCACGTTAAGCCGTTGGTCCCGGCTGCATTTGCAGTCATTAGCACCCACCAATCCGCACTGGGCCCGCGTGGTGGGTCATGGCCCAATCTCCCTATTCTATCCATAGGGAAGGCCTGTGCCCCAGCAGTGGGGACATTAATAGGCTGATGATGATGATGAGGGCTCTTAGTATGAAATCATGCGCCTCCATGGGTACTGACCTGGGTCCTGCGCCAATTGTCGGTACACGGATAGCGCGACGTCATCTTCGCTGACGTAGTCCCAGAGGCCGTCGCACGCCACCACCACAAAGTCCTCGTCTCCGTCCAGCTCCACTGAAGCTGTGTCCGGACGCGCAGTCACGTAAGGCTTGTATTGTGCATCACCTGCGCAAAAACACCAAACGTTCATGTACGGCCAGTTTTATTAATCTAATTTAATTAAAATATAAAATTCTGGAAACCCCTTCCTTCCTTCTAGTAACGAAATCCCCAAGTCACATATTTTGACTTCATTCGGGCTACGATAACTCTGTAGTGGATTGACAATGGCAGTACTAATTATAGTTTAATTAACTATCCCTGAAACTTCATTTTTAACCGACTTTAAAAAGGAGGAAAATCTCAGATACGTACATGTGATACATCGAATATTGTTACGAGTAGAGACGGGGTTTGAGAGTATAATGCCAGTTCACGCTTGACAATTCTTTATTACCTGTTCACAGAGTAAACACTCAATATTAGTCACAATGCACTCACTGTAGACACATTATACTGCAAAAAATGGAAACCGTGAAAGTTGTAATTTTTATATCGTGTTGGCTACGGGGTCTATCTCAAAATCGAAACGAATTAAGAATTTGAAAGATTTCAAAATCTGAATTTTAACAACAAATACTGAACAGTGATATTAGGTAACTTAAATTATAGGATTATATCATTGCACATTAATTGAGTGCTTAGGAGACGAAACGAGGAAACTCCTAAATTACACACAGTTCATATAAATAAGGAGCAAATAATAATTGCGTATAGCATGCCAAATTTGTAAGTCGATGCTATTTTGCGTTTTTGGCTAAAAAGTTAAAAAAATGACAAAATTCGTTTTATAGTTACTCGCACATATTTCCGAGATCGATATCGATGTCTTTTTTCAAAAATTGTTAATTAATCTGTTAATCCCTGAAATTCCGAATCCACAACTTTAACTCCTCCATATTAAATGTCCTCTTTAACCTCTTCTCCTTGATACTCAGTCTCTCCTACATTTTCAATTAATCTCCCTTCATACTTAACCTCATTCTTTCTCTTAAATGGTCAACTCTGCCAATTATTTTCGAATATTATACGATCATCTACATATAAAGTACCTTAAAAGAAAACAAATTTTTAATTAATGTAATGCAAAACTGTTGGTACTACTTCAAAATAATATTTTTTCATGAACAATGGATAAATAAATGCCTCGAAACAAGTTTTCGTCCATAATCAAAAATATATTTTATAATATTATAGATAATAAAATATAGTTTACCTTTAATGAAAACATTTTTTAGTTATAAAGCTATAGAATGTAACTGTTGAAAAGTAAATAAAAATACCAACACAAAAACAAACAAGTATCAAGAAATTGATAGAAACTCACTCGTTGACGTTAGGATTTCTTCATAACATTGCTCTAATTGCATAGAACCGACTCCATTTGTTCCTTTTCAGATTTATTTTGGCTTATAATTCCATAAAACCACACTTAAACTCCACATTTCTCTCCACAAACAAAAAAATTCAAGAAATTTTCTGCAAACGACAGATTTTCGCATGACGTGACATTTTTTACATTTATGAATGACATCCTAAAAAGGCTGCCAGATCAAGATTTCTGGTGTGACCAGATTATTGACTCTGCAAAGTTATAGTGGTTCGACTTTAATGCCGGCACTGCGCTTGGCTATTCATGTTTGCTATTTGTAAACTTGACTTCAAAATCTTCTTTTCATTCCATATAAAGCATGATAAGGACAGATTGTTGTCAAGTTAACAAATGGCAAATACGAATAGCCAAGTGAAGTGCCGGCAAAAGGTGTAGAGTCGGTGAAGTTAGACCTTGTAGAGTTAGGGCATGTAGAGTAAGAAGCTTGTAATAAAGTAATTATGTGTCGCACTGTCAAAAAGTTAGAAAGTTCTCGTCTTGGCAACATTTTACAGTAAAGTGTTTTTGGTGGAGTGGGCAACAAAGCTCTATTAGGCCTATCTCTTACTGGAGTTTGGTTTATTACAAGTACCCGTTAGAGGTACAAAAAAGTTTGTTCATGGTAAATAATACACAGTTTTAGTTTGCTAAATAAATCTTGTCTACCTAGTTCCATCTTACTGTAATTTTAACAAAAAAATATATGATTTGTTTCTTAGGTTTTCACGCACATGACTCATTAAATAAAACTAGTTTTAACGGGTTAAGCCCGAACTTTAATTATTTATTGTCGTTTCGCAGCGATACGCGAGGCTATTAAGATTAAAAAATACCCAAATTTCAATAGGGAAGATGGTCGGTGTGTTCCACCAGCTTGGGAGCCCATTATACAAGAGATAAAATCCCAACTCCGAGCCCAAACTGCAAGACCAACAGATACTATTAGTTGTTTTTGTTTGCATAATTTAACATAAGGAGATAGAAAGCCTCTCTGAGTTTGTTTCGCCGGTTCTTCTCAGAAAGATCTCCCAATTTTGGAACCAGTGGAAGTTTACGGTAGTTAGGATCAAATAAATAAACTCAAAATTACAAAAAAGAATATTAAATAAAGTACTTTATTTACTAAATTAACTAATAAACTCATAGATAGACAATAAAGTTTTAAAAATCTTCCAATGTAATATCCGAACGCTCAATAAAAGTCTTCCGAAGGTAGCTGAACAAAGTAAATAAAAAAAAACATTATTCTGACTATGCAGACCGGAAAAGGCTGCGAAACGTCAATAAATAATTCGTGCATTAACCCGTTACAACTAGTTTTATTTAAAAATAAGATTTTTCATTACGGGAACAAGCCCGCATTGAAGTAATCTTGCATGAAATCCAGAGTACGGATTTCAAATAATCGAAGGGGTCTAAACCTTTCCGAAGTTAATCTTCCGTGGCATGCGTATCGATGGGTTTTGGTCGCACGTGGGGATGTGATTTGGGCTATTGGCTGCGGAAAGCCGTGAAGAAAATGTCAACATTATATTGCAACTAAGCAATCGTTGATATTGATGTCTATCTCAACTAAGGGCTGGGAATAAAAAACAATATTATAAACAGCTATCGATAAATTTGTTTTCTAATGGTTCATGTTCTAAATTATTGTTTATTAATTAATCCCATATGTTATTGTTCTATATTGTAACAAATGCGTAACAACTGAACGATAGCTCGACTAACTAAAAAATGTATTTTAGAATTTAATAAAAACAAGCTGTTACAATGAATTGGAGAAATTTAAAGATATTCGTTCGACAGGAACACATATAGTTAGCAATTGATTGGAAAAATCTTCTGTAGATTGATCGTTCAGCAATGTAACTCTCCCATTTACTGCCAGCTGAAAATTCGATAAGATCATCAAGGCAGTAGTCGATCTTTAAAAGTTCTATAAAAAAGTCCGCGACAGCATATGTCTAGCTTTTAAGGATGACCTTAAAAGCAGTGCCCTCTCTAGTATCTACATATTGAGGTAGCGCATGCAATGTACAACCAAGCACTTCAGAAGTCCAAGCACTAGTTTTTAACAACTCCATAACATATAGCGTCGTCCAAGTTTCTATGAAAACTAAGCAGCGGCGCTACCGGACGTTATAACAAACTGGCTCCTTCCATTCAAAATTTGACGATGACGATACGATTATGGATGTGTCATAATTCGGGCTTGAGCCTCAAATCTCCCAACATCGATACCTATTGAAGTTCCCATTCTTATCGAGTGCAATGTCCAGTAATCGATATTGTGTGCAGTGGGGTTGTAGGTGAAGCGAGGGTGCGACCGGGGCTCGGGTCGACACGACAAGCCGGCGCCCGACGCGCGCACCTCACGATCGAATTTAATGTGTTTCTTGTCTTCTCCAAATGACGTGTCTTTGTTTCGAAAAGTATGTAGGTAGGTATGTATACAAAAACTTCTAATGTAACTATCATATTCTGCTCATGATTTCTTAGAAGTGTCATATTCCGTTACCTTAATATTTTGAGAGTCATTTTAGTTAAATAAATAAGATATATATACTTAATCAGAAAGATAATGAAAACAAAGAAAAAGTTTTTAATAAGCGTTATATTTTACAATACCGAAACTATGCTCATGGTATTGTTTTAAGTTTAGCACTAACTGAGCTAAATATAATTTCGTCATCGTAACATAATCCTCAGTAGTATAAATATGGTGTCGAATCTGGCATGATTCTCTAAACTTAAAACTAAATTTAATATCAGTCTCCCATTTTCATTCTGTAAAGAGAATTACAAGGGTATACTGTTGTCAAATTTAATTTTAGGAGTAGAGAATCATTTATTTATTTATTTATTTATTTGATCACCAACAAAGTTACACTTACACATTTATTATTTACACATTTATAGTACGACACATTATTAGTGAAACTTTAATTATAGGCGATTACGACATGCAATTCACACTTAACTAGCAATTAAATCTTATAAAATTTTGATAATTACATTAATTTCAGTACAAAACAATTATGAATAAAAATAAAATTTTAAATTGTTAATAAATAAATAAATTTATGGAACAATTAAATAACAACAATTAAATAAATTTGTGAATAATAAATTAATGAAAATAAATAAATGAAAAATAAATCAATGAAAAAACTATGTGGGCACAACCAAACATAAAGATTTTATTCTGTTCAGTGTATCCGCGAAGATGTCCATATCGGTCGACTTTGACAGTGAATTGTACTGAGAGAGCATTCTATTTATAGGAGAAAATAAGCCTAGTTTCGTTCTGGAGCTTCTCGTCGCAAACAAATTATACCTTGACCCTCTTGGAAGTTTTAAGGGGATATTAAAATATACTCTTGAGAGCAAATCGGGACAGTCCATAGTACCATTAACGAGCTTATGCAAGAAAACATTATCTAAAATAAATCGGCGATCGCTTAATGAGTCCATTTTAAAGTATCGTAGCCTATCTTCGTAGTGTGGAAGCTTTTTTGCAAGATTGAGGTTGTAAGAAAGATGCCATAAAAACCTTTTTTGGACGCGCTCTATCTTTTTAACGTATACATCATAGTGTGGATTCCACACCACACTACAATATTCCAATCCACTACGTACAAGTGCGTTATATAGTGTTATTTTAGTTTGTGGACTTTTGAATTCCTTTATGTTG